ATTACAACAACTGTGCAACCCCAAGACACACTGACACATAAAAACTATATCAAAATAATCTCTGCGTGCTGCTAACGTGGCTATATTTAAAGTATTGCACATAATTTCCCAGTCCACTTGTCTATATACAAATTTACAAAAATTAAAGGAAAACCATCGAGAACAGGAGTAAGGAAGCTAAAGAAAGTCACAGAAGCCATATAGATGAAATGAACAGATTAAGATAAATAGAATAACGTGCAAATCTGTAACCCATGTTTCAGCCAAAATTCCAAAAGTATTACATAGGGGGAAGGTAATGATGTATGTGTAGATTTAAGTGTTTGCGACTGGATGTAGATGGCCTAGAGATTCATAGGGAATACCTTTTAGTGCCAACCTGTCAGGTGGGGGGGGGGCTCTAGCTATATCCCACACCTTGAGTTCCCTCTGCTAAATGAATATAAACCGACCAAGGAAGGGTATAGGGAGAGGTGTTTTCACTGAAAGCCCACCAAACATGAAACTATTCGGAATTAGGTTAAGCGGCTACTAGGGTAGTTGGCTAGAGCTCCCTGGCTACGAAGCGGATAACGTTCAGCATGGCAGCAATTTTGGTAAAATGACAGATAATGGCTTTCGGGCAATGTAATTTTCTAACTTCAACGAGAGGCTGCAATTAATTAAAGGGCGGCAGTCGTCGCGCCACGCATGCGCGAGATATATGAATCTCGTATAAACAAAGATGGCGACTTTGACTGTTGCGCAGATCGACGAGTACAAACTGAGACGTTACTAAGCTTTAATTAGGTGATTGAAAGGTATCAATCACCTAAAACATTAGAAGAGTGCATTGGATTGTGGGAAAGTCAATTTTTTTTCAACACAAATGTCGCACATGCGCAGCGCGACGACTGCCGCCCTTTAATGACAAAATTGCATATACTCCCAAATGAAATTTTAATCAAACTATGGATGAGTGTGTCGATGTTGTTTATTTGATATAAGTAGTAGTTTCAGTATCTGTCGCATGATTAGAAGTCATGTGTTAAGAAATGTGTGTACAATATTTTGCATGTGTGTTCCAGTAAATGGATGCTGATTATTATCAGCATGGTTTATGGTTTGTGTCTAATCTGTCGCCCATCAATGTTGACCATATTGACCTCTATTTTGTTCTGTTACTAATGTAGATATGTAACATCGATAAATACAACACTGACTGCTAAAATTATATGTTACGTAAATGCACAAGTCAATACTCAAATGACTTCAAGATATAACATAAGCATCGTCAATACCACAAGGAATGTAACTATGCTAATACGGTGAAGAACGGTGTTGAAATGCACCACAGATAATCGAAAGCCAAATCACCTGTCTCATGAATCAAATGTGGATAGTCACATTCATAATCTTCATATTTAACATAACATTGAACGTGGCTGGACCAGAAGAGAATTGTGAATTTCACGTTTTCGAATAGTCTAATAGTCAGTACAAAATCGTTTGGGTTCTGGCTATGTCTGATATATTTTCAAAACACTAAGCACATATTATCTATCAGTCACTATATTACCGCAATGCATTGTGGGTGGGTGCGTTTTTGTGACCACAGGATTAGAGGGCTGCACCCCTGCGTCCCCCTGTTTATGAAGGTACCGTTGAGTACGCAGTTGAGGTGGCTGATGACCATCCCCCCCCCCCAGAGAAATGCAGATTTTTTGGCAACAGAATTGTCTGTTCTCACATGGAGAATAGTACTGGAAATGAAATACACATACACCAAAATATCAATATCAAGCTCCTGGCTTTAACACCTTTCAAAAATAATTACAAGCAAAAAAGCTCTGCAAAATACAATGAATAAATTCACTAAAATAGGGGATTGCCCAGGGAAGTGTACATTGGTGCTAACTTACAGTTCCAGGATGTAGAAATGGATGACAGTCAATGGCTTCTGCAACACAATGACGAAGAAATACAGGAGTCTTGCTTGCAGAGAAACACTGTTATTCTGGAGGGCACCGCTGAAAGCAGGAGATCGCGAGAGCAGTTCATACAAGTCCCACATAATAATGTCTGAAGCCTGTATCACCTGTCCTTTCAATACCACAGCAGCAACACAAAGGGTACTCAGTTGACAAGATTGAATTTATACCTAGAAATAGACTAAGCT